CCCCCCCATTTTAAACAACTGCATAGACCATCACCATTAATATTTGTTTATGCTCTTCATATGTTTTAGATATGGGCAGTACTTTTTTTGTAAAAAAAAAAAAAAGGTGCTGGAACTCACATCCTGGGGTCACACTTTTACACAATGGTCGCCGTGCATGACCACACCACCGATCCCAAGCTGAGCAGTGCCCTCACAATCAGCACCGACACACAAGCAGCCCGCAGGCACTATGTTAATGATTTTTGCTGCAGACCTGCTATGCCCAACAGGACGATTCACAATCACTTGGAAAAATCCGGCAAAAAAAGGTGCCGGAACGCTGTTCTGGTGCGTTCTATGACAAAAAAAGCCCTGGATATGGGGGGGGGGGAATTCTGTCCCCAAAATCCAAACTATATCCCATTAATCTTGAGAGGAAGATGTGTCCTCAGGGCCCAAAATGCTGAATAAGAACAAGGGATACAAAAAGAGGAAGTGCCATGAAAGGAATTGCCACAGAAGGCAGTACTGCAGACATGCTGTCTGTCAGAGCTTCCACCTTCTCAGAGTTGCTTCCTGCTTCATGTGGAAACTGGGTTGACCAGGTATTCTGCTGACATTTATTGCAGAAACTATATAAAACACACAGGCTTTGGGCAGGTGCAGGTGTGTCCTGATCCTCCAGTTTCTCAGACAGCTTTACTGGGAGGCTCAGAATGGGCAAAACAGGGTATTTCCTTGTGTATTTCAGCTACTCTGCCAAAGTTTATATACCAGGAAAAGCAGCAAAGGAACAGCTCCTTTGGTAGAGCTAAGGATAATTTGTACATGATGCTTTTAACCTGTCACATTACTGAGGCTTCTACTTTGAAATTCTTCGATTCTTAGGCACCATTTCTTTTCCTGGGTTTTCTCTGCCTTTCTGTGTGTCCCACGATCTAAGCAGTAGGCAGCACTGTGATGTAGCAGAATTGTGCAAACACAATACATGAGGGTTTCACTCCACCAGAATAATACCAGACTTTGCTCAGTCTTTAAAAAAAAGTCAAAGGAGTGACTTCAAAGAATAGGCGAGGCCCAGGAGGAGGAGGAGATCGTGCAAAATGCCTGCAAACCATCAGGAGGAATTGTGAAAGTATGGTAAAGACCTGGTGAAAATGGGCTCTGATCTCACTGCTGCAACAAAACTGAAAGTATGTGCAGCTATTAACAACCTGCTGTAGAGAAACGCTGTGACAGGCGGATTGCAGGCTAGGCAGGCCTGGCTATGACTGGGAGGGTTGAGCCTGAGCTGGCATAGCCCATATGTCGCATCGGCATTCATACCCTGTGTGTGAATTCATGGGCGGGAGAAGGGATGGACAGGGGCTGGGCTGGCTTCCCATTTCCCCTCTGGCCAGTTCCGCCCTGGAAGCGACCTGTGTAATATGCTACCAAGACTCTCCCGGGTTGCTTTGGGCAAATGAGACTGTTACAACTGATGAAGACTTAAGGCAGTATATGCCATCCAAATCCTTAAAGCTTACAATTATAGCTGAATTGCAACTTCAAAATATAATATGCTTATGTTGCTGATATATATTAAGGGGAAGGAAGAATGTGGCCCAGCAGCTCAAAATCCAGGCCAGACTGCAATGAAAAATTAACACTATATTTACAGAGTTCTGGTCAAACTGTAATGGCTGGTAACTTATTCCATTCATGTGCTGCTGGCCAGGGAATTTATTAAGAAACATGGAAAGCAAACCAGCCTGAAATTCCCCGGTTCCTTGCCTGCAAACCAACACATGTCAACAACAACTACGTAGAAATGCAGACTTCAAAGCACAGAAGAATTTGCTCAGCTAATGGAAATCCAGCCGAAGGAACCATTTGTTTTCTGAGTTTTCAGTTATACTAGCCACATATTTACAGATTTTTCTTCATAATATACTGACACACTGACTGTGGTCACACAATATGATAAGCAATTTGATGAGGTTATCATGGGTCACAGTTTTCCCCCCCATGTTCTACCTAATCAATGATCAAGCGGTGTCTGTTATCATGGTTTCCATCTTTCCTACTCAGTCCTCCTGCTGTTGGCACATATCCCTTCAGCCACCATGCCTGAAATTCAATCACAAGCTGCATCAATCCCTGCCTACATTCTGCCTCTTTCTAATTATGTCTATTATTAGGCACAGATGGGTAGTAGAGACTGGATGATTCATAGAGTGGTTGTTCTTTCCAGGAGACTGTGCTGGTTGCATACCAAAGCTGCAGAAACCTGGGTTCAGACAACATAACAAGCTATGGTGGTATGAAGAAACCATAGAATAAATTGTTGGGTGGATTCACATGATATAAGGAACCATAGTGAAATCTTTTCCTTGTGGGTGGGTTTGTTGCATTATCCAGACCCAGTTCTAGAATTCCAGAATGGTAGGATTTCTTTTCTGAAACCATGCGGAAAATCAACCAGGTTGACTCTAAGGCTTCACTGTGGCCTCTCCAGTCATCCAGACCTGGGATCACCATTTTTTCATTGTTGGTATGGAAACACTATAGAGTTTCCTGGCAAGAACAGCTGCAGAAATGGATGCTTCTAATCTTCAATCTCTTCTGCCCTCAGCTTCCTAGCAACAGGCACATCATTTCTTGTTTAATTCCAGGTGCGCAGGTTAGCTCTGAAGGGGGAAGGCAGAACCCACCTCAGGGCTGCAGTGGACAGATTGGGGGGGGGGGGGAGCACTGCAGCCCACAGGCAAGAATACGGAAAGGGGAGGGATTTACTCATGGGGGCTGCAGGGATGTGTGGTGAGCACAGAAACTCCACTGCCTGCAGTTGGGCAATAATCTACATGCCATGGCAACAGCACAGGATTATCTTCCATGTTATGGGAACCCAGCTGTTGTTTCCTATCATGGTTTCTAAAGACCAGACTTACCATAGTGACATACCATGACTGACCAACAATGGTAAAAAACCTACCACTGCTTGTCATGTTGTCTGAACCCAACTACTGAGTCCGTAAAGTTGCACATTTTAAATTTTGGATTTTTCCCCTAGTTCTGGACTCATAGTCACAAACACAGATTTGAATACTCACAACACATATTGTATATTTATTCCATTAATTTATATAGTAGCTTATATGGTATGATACAAAGTACTAATAAAATGTAATATAATTAAAACATAATCACATTAATTACAACACATTAGTTCAAAAATATATTGGAAACAAATTAGCTAGACAGCTAATTATAAATAAACATAAAATTATAAATAATTATAAATAAAAAAGAAATAAACAGACCCTATCAATTAAAACCTAGTTTTGCAATAAACAGTTTAACAGCCAAGAGCCTGCATGAATAAATATGTCTTGGATGCTGGAGGACAATAAAGAGAGCTTTGCCCTCCTTGGCACAGAGTTCCCAAGCCTGAACCCCATCCCTGGGGTTTCCCACAAAACGTGCCTCCAACAAGAGAAAATCTTCTCCTAAGAATCTTGAAATCCAGGCAGTTTCATAAAGGACATGGGAGCTTTCAAATGGCCTAGACCAAAGTCATCAAGGGCTTTAGAGGTTATTAACACAGGTTGAATTGTGCAGGGAAACAGACTGGTGGCCAGTAGCTGTGGTAACAAGGGAATCACATGATCTCTCTAACTGGTCTCAGTCAGCTGGATGGCTGCAGCATTCTGGACCTGCTGAAATTTCTGGTTGCTTTTCAAAGGCCTATGCCATGTCCACTATGCCATTTAGCCAACCCTAAAGCATACAAAGAAATGTGTCTTCTTATTAAAAATCTGAACATGTAAGGCTTACATGCCAGAATATTTAGCCAGGCTAAATTAGTAAACTTGTATGATGAAACTGCCAGCTCCTTAAATGTGCATTTGGTTGGGCTGGGACTTTTCTGTGGCTGCATCCAGACTATGGACTTCCTTGCCTATTTACTTTATCTTTCTTGACCGCTCTAGACCTTCAATAATTACTGAAGACATCTTTGCTCCAGTGTGCTTCTGGCTTGCTGAGCTACGAGTAAATTGTTGTAATGCAGTTCAATGGTCTGATCTAATGTTTTACAGTTTTATGATTTTGCTGACATTGATTTTGTCTGTAAAGTGACTGATTGATTGATATACCACCAATCTTCCAAGAAATGGCACCCAAGCTTGATGTTGTAAGCATTAATGTTCTATTACAATTTCACTGGAAGGGTGGGGCATCCCTTAAGCATAATATTCTTATGTTTCTAATGTCTTAGAATTGTGTTAAAGTAGGAAGAAGACAAGTTTACTTACTATTTCACTAAGTAGGCCTCATCACCATGTTTGAGTAGCTATGAAATGGTTTCAGCATCTTAGTCCATGACTTCATCTGGAGCACATAAGGATCATGGGACTTGTAAGCCAAAATATTCAGAAGACCACAAGTTGCCTACCCCAGTGAATAATGGAACTCCATCCTACAAGAGCTCTGCCTGGCATACCTTCTGTCTGGAGAGCAATGGGGATACAGCTATTTGTAGGCTTTTCAGAAATGTATTGATTTGGAATTCAGCTACTTCATTTCATTTTTAAGCCTCTTTAAAGGCAGGACAAAGGTATTTAAGTAAACATGTTAAGTAACGGTAACATGCCCCTGAGCAGCTCAAAACGTCAGCCTAGCAAAAGCTGCCCCAGTCTCCAGAATGTTTATAGAAATCTGTGCCCTGCAAACAGAAACAGACTGAGGTATTTTGGCTCCTCATACTGTACTCAGCCTGTTGAATAGCAGGGCTGGCCATGCTTGCAAACAGCTCTGCCTCCTGCTACTGCTAGGCACTTAACGTTAGAAACAGGTGCTATTTCCACCTTGCTTCTTGGCAAAGAACTTAGCAACTGCTTCTCAAAGAGTGTGAGCTGTTTCCTGCCTTTTTGTTTTAATCTGGCACCTCCTCTTCAGGGGTGGGGTGAAGAAGTTCCCCAGCCCCCACACCAGCCCTTTTCTTTGTGGTCTGATGTCAGTTGCAAAAGAGGAAGCTGTCGCCCGGCGCTGTATTTCCCAGCCATGAGGAAGGGTGCTGCTTGGGGTAGCAGAAAGTGACTCTTCCAACAGCCAGAACAGTGACTTGGGCTGGAACGTGGTGGAAATGGAGCTGTGGAAGCAGTGTGCCCACTGGCTTATTCAGTGCCGAGTGCTACCCACAAACCATAGAGTGACCTTGGAGGGTGCCCAGGTCTGCGACTTGGCCCAGGCCTTGCGTGATGGTGTCCTCCTCTGTCAGCTTCTGAACAACCTCATTCCTCATGCTGTCAACTTACGGGAGATCAATTTGCGCCCTCAGATGTCCCAGGTGAGTGAAGAGGCCGCTAGGTGGGAGAGTATGTGTCTAAACAGCTGCTCGTAAGTGGTTAATGGCCTTCATTGTGGCGGGGCGGGGGAGTACAGTTTTACCAGAAACTCTTTTATGGAGATGAGGAAACCATGTAAATCACTCAGGGGATTCATAGCTCCTGTAGAATAAAAGGGTGGTGGTGGGGAGAACTTGGGATTCTGCTAACATGGCCACAAGGATAGTAGAGTGGGGAGAGTCAGGTGTCAAGAAGAACCCAGGTAGCAAAAATAAGTGAATAACGGACTGACAGCAAGGGAATCCAAGTGGAAGATAAGACGCACTATGGTGATTGTGCGGTTGATATGTGTGAACTATGATAGCGGGGAAAGAGCACGAGGTTTTGTAGCACTCCAGGCAGATTGCATGCGGGAACATGCAATCTGCTCCATCTGTACGTGTGGGGTTGCGTTTGGGAGCAAAGGGGTTAACATGTTTCTGAGGAAGTAATTGCAGTGTGATCATATGTGTGGGTGGGGAGTATTGGTCTCCTGCCTGTAGCTGGTGTGTGGGGCAGGGGCAAGGAGAGGTTTATTAAGGTGCACAGATGTGTAGCTTTCAGTTTGACTGTAGCTCAGGGAGTGGAGTTGACATTTGCTCCTAAAAATGGAGAGGAAGTACATTAAGGAATTCTGCAAGAGGAATGGAAGCCATGCATAGAGAACAGAAGGGCCAGGTTGTGGCTAGGGAGGCCACCTGCCCACATGTGCTGGGAGAGGCTCTGGGACCACTCAAAACATGCAGATCAGAAGAATGTAGGCAGGGCTCTGTCCAGATTTGAGAGACCTAAATCTAGACCAACTGCTTTGAAACCAGGGCTAGAAATGGACAAATTTGTCAGTTTCATGTTCTCCTGCATTGTAATTTTAAGTTTCAACTTCTTTCTACTTGTTTATGAAGACATAAGTGAAATTTTATAAGTTCCTCCCAAAATACGAATAGAAAAAATTTCTCACCTATTGACACCAGCCCCATTCAATAGTTACAGATATTCCCAGCATGGGAAGGGAATGTGGATGCTCTTGCGCAGCTCCCATTAATTTTCAGTGTGCGAGATAATATCTGCCCATTTCCTCTGCACCCCTTAAAGGCAGACAGAAGCCACAGTCTGAGGCCTTCACCTTGCCTTGCTTTGTGACAAGCTCTCCTTGATTGCTGCAAGGGATTTGGCCTTGCTGCAGGGCACAACATCTCTACCTCCTCCATGCTTTCTCAGGGCTTCAGTGCATGAAGCATATAACCATGTACTTCTTTGGTTTTCTTTGTAGGAAAATTAATGTGTTCTACACATAAGGGTTTTTTCCCCAGGGCTTTTCCTTTCTGTGTTTCTGTGATGTCCCCATGTGTTATATTATACAACACAAAATGATGGGATGGGACAGAGAGGACTTGCAAAAATACACCAGGTTCATGAACCAAATAATGGAGGCAACCAGGAAAATACCAGCCTTTCTTTTCTTTAAAAGAAGTAACAAAAATGACTGGAAAACTCTCCTGATGATTTATGGTTACCAACCCTGTTCAGGCTCAGTGACACACTGTTAAGGATTCCAGGAATGGTGGGCAAGATCCTGGTGCTGGGGGCTGCATTCCCCCAGGATGCTTTCAACCCACTCCACCACTGAAATTGTTACTGAACAATTTTTGCAACAGTGCCAAAAAACTGCACTTTTCCAAGGAAACTAGGTGCATGAGAAATGGACACCTAATTTGCAAACAGAATCTTGCTCACGAGAGATATTTCTCTGCAAGTGGTATTGGCTTGCAACAGCACTAGTTTTGTGGCCACTACAGCAGTAGGAGCAGGGGTCCTATAAAAATGTAGGAACCAAGTGCTGTTGCTCAACCGTGCCTTACAGCATTAATATGTATAGTGACTTCACTTTTGCATGCTGAAACCTATAGTCCTAAACATCTAAATGAATAATCAGTGCTTAGATGAACTTCCAGAGTAAATTTATATAGATGGGTATTTGCGGAGAGGGGGTATTACTGTGCTAGTAAAGTTATGAAGATCACTTCATACTTTTCAACTGCTTCATACTTTCCCCCTCTGAATATGTATGCACATTTCTTGCTTCCTTCCAATATGGGTGGTTCTAAGAAATATCCAACCTTGTTTCAGGGACTGAATGTGTGAACATTCAGGTCATATGTTTCATATACCTACCTTCCACCACTCAGCCAATTGCCCATTTGCTGGCTCAAGCTAGCTTTCTGGTTATGTAGCACCCTGTGCTTTAATGGTGCTCAGTGACCAGCATGGCAACTTTCCCAGCCAACAATGCAAATGAAGCACAAACTTATCTGTGCTGGGAAAGATCCCTGCCTGGAACTCTGGAGAGTTTCTTGAACCAAGTCAGTACTGACAGTGCTGAGCTAGATGAAGCAATGGTTTGAGCCACTTCCTGTGCATCTACTGTGCCTGTGTTTACTGCCCCCTCCCTCAGAGCATTATGGCCACCAGTAAGGGCCCATTCCTACAACACTGAGGTAACTGGAAGGCTGTTTTTTATCCCCTGAATCTGGGTCATTGTGCAATACATTGCCAGGTGCTCGGGCTTAGCTGCTAGCAAAATCCAGCTTGGGGCACCAAGAAGGCACTGCATTTGGAGGCCTCAGGAGACAAGGCTGGTAGCGTCCCTCTGCAACAGATGGCTCAAAATCCTCAGACTACTGCAAGGCAGTAGTCCAAGACTGGGACTGGGTTCAGAAAATGAGGTAACGCTAAGGTGTGAGTGGTTGCCAAACTGTGGTTGTTGTTGACATATGGGTGATTATGTTGTCTGGATCCAGCTGTGCTAACAAGCCATGAAAACCACCCAGTAGCTCGCTTTGCACAACGCACTAAGCCATGAGGGAGAAGGCTTAGCATGCTGTCCAATGCCCTGCTTCCACCTGAAAAAGCCATAGCAGCACAGCAAGCCTTGGCCAAGCAAGTCTCTTCTTCTCCTCAGCTTGGAGAAGAGAAGACTCTGAGGGGAGCTTTTAGCAAGTTGTGAGGGGATGTCATGTAGAGGAGGCCCGTGAGCTGTTCTTCCCTGCAGTAGAGGGCAGGACACATTCCAATGGGGCAGAGCTCAACCAGGCTTCCAGTTGGATGTCAGGAAGTACCTTTTGACAATTAGGACCCCTAGGATATGGGATGGTGGTTGAGGCCTCATCAGTGAGGGTGCTCAAGGAAAGTTTGGACAACCACATGTTGGGGATTACATGAGTGGAGCCAGCTGGAGCCGGGGATCAGACTAGATGGCCTGGAAGGCCCCTTCTGACTCACTTGGTTTCTGTTTTCAAGCGGAAAATAAAAGCCTATTGGCAAGAGTGGCAAAAAAAGGTTGCCATTTTGGTCAAGGAGTTCTGGCTGGCGGCTGTCCTCAGCTTCCCCTCCCCCACCCAGTGTGTCTGCTGATGCCTGGAGAGCAGCACTGCTTGAGAGCAAGCAGTGGGCCTCAGCAGGATCCACTGCCTGCCATTTGCTCAAACCCCATTTGGGGCATGGCAAGGAAAGGGAGCAAGGTTCCCAGGAGGTGAGGGTGAGGCATTCTGTTGGGTCTCCTCCGTGAGAGAACCAGTCAAATGCACACACTTCCCACACCTGCAGCCCTGATCTTGAGTTGATTGTAGCTCAACTGGAGAGCAGTGTCTGCAGCTCAGCCTCTTCCCGGGGTTCCCCAGGAGAAGGCCAAGAGTGCCTGTGGGCATCACAACAAACAAGGACAGGGGAACAAGGCAGACGGCATGCTTCTCCATGTCACTGCCATGTGTGTTGGTGACACAAAACACAATCCACCATTGCCAGGTGAGGAATGCCCCTCTCTGTCCCACTCTGCTGCTCAGTGAGTGGCGGAAAGTACCAGGGAGGGACTGGCTGCCTCATGCTGGGATTAGAAACCCAGCACAAGCTGGCTTGTGTCCTCCCATTCCGGCCTCTTCACACTGTGCTCCTGCCAATGCTGGGAGGGCAGGACTGCCCAACAGGAAGCGCTCATAAGGGCAGGGAAGTGGATGATGGCTGTCAGAAGTGCTGACTGGACACTTTCTGCCATTGGTGTTCCTGGTCCCCCGTGCTCCCACAATGTCCCCCAGGATACTGGCAGGAGGACTGGGGGCTGAAGAGGGGAAGGGCCCCTGCAATGCCTGCACATTAGTTGAGCACAGTCCGGAGCCCTGGCATCCCAGGAGTGTGGTTCTCATGTTGCCTGGACCCAGCCAGCGCCCATGGGGGCATCTGACTCCTTGGGCCAGCAGCTTTGTGGTGGTAATCCTCCATTCCAGTGGTTCATTGGCCCTCCTTCGCACAGCGTGCAAAGTTGGTGCCTGACTTGTAGGACTTCTAGCGCAAATGCACTCCAGACTCAGAGTTTCCTGGCAGTCACAAGGCACAAAACATGGATTGATGAGCTCTGAAGTGCCTGTGCTCACGAGGGAATAAACATTATATGATTAGTTTGCCTTTATGTGAGCCTGGCATCCAGGCTTAGTCCAGATAAAAACAAATCATGCCACATGCATCAAAAGGCACGTCTCCAGTTCCTGGCCTGTTGTTTCCTTTTAGTTCTCTAGATCAGACACAGATATTTGCAGAGATTCTTCTATCCACAAAGCCCATCTCTGGACTGATCTGAATGAGTATGTTTATCTTCAGGAGCCATGCTGAGTATCTAGTCATGGAAAGGTTGAAATGGAAAGGTTCCACTAATCATGTGGGGAACGAATAATGTTGATACAGACCCAACTGCCTAATGTGTGGACCAGCTAAATTTGTGAGAGCTGTTATTACATCTTCAGTCTTTTATATTTAAAATGACACTTGAAGAAGCTGCCCATTTCCTAAAAGCCCCTGGAAAAGAGATCATGTGAGGTGGCTATTGAACGCCAGAGTTGGGGAAGGAAATGCCTTGTCTGGGAAAAAAAATGGCTGGCTGGAATCCTGAACCTTCCTTTCAGGAGGGAGGTTACAT